CAAGGATGAAGTTTGAAATATTTTCTTGCATTATCAGTTTTGAAAATCTGAATTTAATCATGTCATAAAAAGGTTGAAAGATTTGGGTTATTTCTGATTTTTCATTCGTCAGGAATACCCAAGTAGTTCTAGAATGATCATTAATAAATGCGACAACCCATGTAGCCCCATTTAGGGTTTTCAACTTTGAAGGTTCCCAAGTATTATTCTGAATAATGGAAAAAAGATCTAAGGGTTTATAATGAGTCACGAGATAACTGTTTCTTGTGTGTTTGACAAATTGACAAGTTTCACATTCATAAAAATTAGGTTTTTTTATTGAGAATTAAATGTGAATAAAACTTAGCAACATAATTGAAATTTGGTTGGCTCAAATGACAATGCCATAATAAGCCTTGTTTTTTGACAAACAAACTCAACAAACATAAAAAGTTTGAGAGACATGTTAATGGGATTATTGATGTGTTTAGAGAGAGATTTTCCTTGAGCAGATATAAGCCTTGATCCATTTCGGCAGTGCCAAACATCTTCCCTGATTCTACTATCTTAGTGTGTCACGAGGTTGGTGTGCTGCTCCGAATTACCTTAAAGGAGTTTCTTCAGTAGTTCAAGTTGTTCCTTGGTGAATGGTTCTTTCAATCCTTCAGATGTGGTATTAGCATTTGTTTTTTTTTCTCCTGGTGCTTCCTTCCTGCCCAAGTTTCTAGTCGACTGACTTTTCATAGAGTTTCTAACAAGGTGTTCCCATGGTCTTTCCCACACCTCATCCAATTCCTGTCTTTGATATGCCCAATCTTCTTGCAATAATTACATGTGGGACGGTTTTCTTGACCTTTAAGTCATGGGAAGAATTATGGATGTATAGAGTTGAACTTTTAGTGCTTGGTGAACCTTCATTTTTGGTTAGTATCAGCTTCTTCCTACTCTCTTCTTCTGACATTAGCAAATGCTTCACGTGGAGATGGAAGAGGCTTTGTTCCCATGGTCTTTCCCACACCTCATCCAATTC